ACCCACGAAACCTTCAAACCCCTGAAAGCCCCCTAATCCCTAAACCCCTTCCCTTGTAAACCCTACACCCCCTAATGTGTCGGAAGGAGAACGGTCCGATGCATGTGGGCCACTGTGCAATGATCAATGTCCAGACTTTCCTAGCTCTTGACCACGAGGGTTCAGGGTTCAAGGTTTAGGTTTCAGGGCGCGTATCTTAACGCTTGAGTCCCTCAATCCCGAGTTTCTCCACACTCCCCCCCTCCCCCCTCCCCAATTCCTGCAGTCAGTGCCTGCCGCTCCCCCTCCCCCTCCCCCTCCGCCTCCCCCCATCTTCTGGCCAAGGAAAACCTACAATGTGACCACCCAGGTGCCAGCAGCGAAGTTTCGTTGGCGAATATCGATCCAAATGATAAGTTGCCAGCATACCCTACTAGGGCTCAGAAAGTTTAGGGGTTTTGGATCTCGGGTTTCGGGACGAGTCAGGGATCTTGCACTGGTGTTTAGCTAGCAATCCCCAAGCCCTCATCCCTTTGACCCCCTCTCATACCATCCCAGAGGTTAGCGTTTGATTTCCGGGGAACGTGGACAAGCAGGTCAGGGTCCACACTTCTGCCACATGAGGATTTGCTCGGAAAGCGTACACCCTAAACCCAAAATTCACCCCTAAACCCTACACACAAACTAATCCTAACCCCTAAATCCAAATTATACCCTAAAGCCTTAACCCAAATCAAACCCATTCCTGCATAGAACCTGTGCCAAAACTCGGCCCTAACGACAACAACTCACCCAATTCAGGCAAACTGATGAGGCCTGACAACCCTGAATTGCGGATTAGAGTTTTGGGGTTTCTACACCCAAAACCCTACACCCTACACCCTGCAGCCCTAGATCTAGATACGTTTCAACACTAAGCCCGCTCAGCATTTTTGGCCATTGCGCTCCCTGAACGCTAGACCCCCCAAAGCCTAAACCCCAAACCCTAAATCCTACACTCTGAGTCGTTTTTGTCAATCCTGGAGCCTTGGCCCTGAAGTTTCACACCTCGTCCCTCATACCCAAAACTCTAAACGCTGAACCCTGAACCCTAAACCCTAACCCTAAACCCTAAACCGTAAACCCTAAACCCTAAACCCTGACCAGACAGCGTGGGAAGGCCCGGAGCATCTTGAACCGCAATGCGCCAGCGCCCAGCGAGCCCAGTGCTGGGCCCAGGTGTGCAGGGGTTTCGGGTTTAGGGTTTAGGGTTTAGGGTTTAGGGTTTGGGGTTTGGGGTTTAGGGTTTAGGGTTTAGGGTTTAGAGCTTGGGGTTGCGCTCAACGGGTTTGGGATGTATGGCGTTTGCAGGATTTGAGGTGTAGGGATCGTAGGGTTGATAGGGCTGTATAGGGTTTGTAGGGTTTAGAGGGTTTCAGGTAGGATTTTGACGCCAGTTTGGGGTTGAGTTTGTTTTGGCCCAGGTTTTGTTGGTGTTTGGCTGGCCGTGTGACATCTTCCCCAAACCCTGGACCCTAAACCCAAAACTAAAACCCAAAACCCTAAACCCCATGATGATGGGTTTGCGGAGAGGACCGGCGCGGTAGTTTCGAAGCCGAAGATCACAGTTGTGCCTTCTGGGCAACCCTAAACCCTACACCCTGAACCCTGAACCGTAAACCCTAAACCCTAAACCCTAAACCCTAAACCCTACCCTAAACCCTAAACCCTAAAACCCTGAACCCTGAACCCTGAACCCTAAACCCTAAACCCTAAACCCTAAACCCTAAACCCTAAACCCTAAACCCTAAACCCTAAACCCTAAACCCTAAACCCTAAACCCTAAACCAAAGAAGAAGCCAATGCCGGCCCGCAAAAGGCCGGCTAGTGATGTTTTCATGCTGCGGTGAGACCTACTTCGTCCTCTAGCCGCTGCCACGAGGTCTCGCTCATCCCCAAACCCTAAACCCTAAACCCTAAACCCTAAACCCTAAACCCTAAACCCTAAACCCTAGAGCAGCACCGCCGACTGAAGCAACAACTGCAGCAGGGAGTGTGGAGGCGATGGCTTGTAGCAAGTTTAGAGCCCGGGCGACAGAGCGTGTTCCAACAAAAATCAAGGTTCTCTCGTTCAGGTTCAACCCCCAAACCTGAGGGTGGGGGGGGGGGGGGGGGGAGGTTGAGGGCAGGCCCCTGAATCCTAGCGGTAACCCTGTTTCCCCGAGAAAGCTCAACCAGACTCAAAGCCCCAAAGCCTTTCATATCATAATATGATATAATATGGTAATCCAGTGGTACCCTTGCATCTTTTTTTGGTTCTGGGTGCCCTTATAAATTAACCAACCAAAAAGGGTGCCCGGGTGCCCTTATTCTGATATTGCTACTGGGCTACTAAGTATAGCTGAGCTTATCGGGAATAGGGCTTGAGGTAGTATCCTCGGCTCCCCGTGTAGAACCTTCCAGTTGTTCGCATAGGGATCCTGATTCCCGAAGTCCCTACTGCTAGTAGTAAAAACCGAGATATTGTGCCCTATTGATCCCTAACCCGCACCCCCCCCCCAAACCCTAAACCCGAAACTTTAAACCCTAAACCCTTAACCCCAAACCTTAATCCCTAAACCCCAAGCCCGAAGCCCTCAGCATTTCATGCCTTAGGTTGATCTGGCGGAGTTCGCTCATGGTGCCGGCCGCGAGAATACTCGCAGCTGCCGTATCAGCTTTTCGGGCCTTGGGTTTTGAGGGTTTGGGGTTTGGGGTTTGGGGCTTGGGGTTTTCGAGGGTTTAGGGTTTAGGGTTTAGGGTTTGGGGTTTGGGGTTTGGGGCTTGGGGTTTTCGAGGGTTTTGGGTTTGGGGTTTAGGGCTTAGGGTTTAAGGATGTAGGAAAGTGGCTGCTTTGCAAACGCAGCATAGTGAGTCCAATTCTGTGCCCACACGCACCCCAACTCCTCAAGAATCCGCAAAGCCTGTGGCTGTTGCCAACCCTAAACCTAAACCCTAGAGCCTATGAAGCCCTATAAACCCAGCAAATCCGATAAAGCCCGATAGCCCCCGAATAAACAAACCCCTAACAAACCCTATGAAGCCTAGTAAAATAAACCCACGAAAACCCTACAAACCGCAATTGTAGGCCTACAAATCCTAACAAGACCCTAGAAAGCCTTCTAAACACCCACGAAAACCCGAAGAAGCCCCGAATAAACCCTCTAAAGCCTTACAAACCCTAAACCCGAAACCCTAAACCCTAAACCCTAAGCCCTATGAAGCCTCATCAAAAACCCCATGAAAACCCTACAGAAACCCATGGGCCTCTTGTGGACTCCGGCCGGCACCGTGCGCGGAAGCGAAGCCGGGTCTTGGCACTGCACCTCGACTTAGTTTAGGGTTTAGGGTTTAGGGTCAGGGTTTAGGGTTTAGGGTTTAGGGTTTAGGGTTTAGGGTTTAGGGTTTAGGGTTTAGGGTTTAGGGTCTAGGGTTTAGGGTTTAGGGTTTAGGGTTTAGGGTTTAGGGTTTAGGGTTTAGGGTTTAGGGTTTAGGGTTTAGGGTTTAGGGGGTACCTAGCTCCTAAAGCCTTAGTGTGCATATAGGGGTTAAGGGTTAATCGAAGGTTTAGGGAAGTTTCTACATGAAGACCGGGCTTCAGGACGTAGAGGGCGTCGATAGGAACCCCAAGCCCTGTATTCTAAGGGGTGGTCCCTTAGTATGGGCTTGAACGGGGAGCCGTCATATACCCTTTTATACACTATGCAAATTAGGGGCCGTACATCAGAACCCTTTGAAGGAGGTTAGGAACATGTTGAGGGCTCATGAGATTACCCTCCGATGCATTTTTCGGATTGCCCGTGCCGGGACCTCAAAGAAAAGTGGGGCACAGGCCCGCCAAGACGGTGGCCAGGCCCCAGAAATTGCAAAACTGCCTCCAATCACAAGAGGTCAGGTGGTTGCTGTGATACCCTAAACCCTAAACCCTAAACCCTAAACCCTAAACCCTAAACCCTAAACCCTGAACCCTGAACCCTGAACCCTAAACCCTGAACCCTAAACCCTGAACCCTTCCTGCAGCAAATGGAACCCTAAAGCTTCAGCTTGGCAACTGCCCCAGTACCCTCATAACAGTGCCCGCGGCAGGTCTCATGAAAAGTGGCACTTAGCAGGCTGTGGCTCCCCTTACTATTAGGGTTTAGGGTTTAGGGCTTAGGGTTTAGGGTTTAGGCCTTAGGGTTTAGGGTTTAGGGCTTAGGGTTTAGGCCTTAGGGTTTAGGGTTCCGGGTTCAGGGTTCAGGGTTTAGGGTTTAGGGTCTAGGGTTTAGGGTTTCGTAGGGCAGGGTTGTGAATTGTGGGTCCCAAAGACCATACAAGTACTACTTAAGACGTCAGGTATTTGGGTTTTTTTGATCGGAAGGATTCCGACATCCAACTTTTGCTTTTGTTAGGAGGGTTTAGGGTTTAGGGTTCAGGGTTCAGGGTTTAGGGCGCCCTCGACGGTACTTGCATGAGGCAGTGCAGGGGCTCGTTGGGGCCATGTGAACTCCAAATCCCAAGTTTAGGATTTAGGCTCTAGGGATCTACCGTAGTGCTAGCGACTTCCGCGTAAGCATTCTGTTTACGTCGAACAACCCCAACACCCTAAACCCTAAACCCTAAACCCTCCACCCTAAACCCTAAACCCTAACCCTAAACCCTAAACCCTAAACCCAAACCCTAAACCCTAAACCCTACACCCTAAACCCTACCAGCCACATCCGCCCATCAGAGTATATAGCGCCGGTCGGCGAGCCGTTTGCAGGTCCGCAACTGGAGCTTAGGTTCTTAAACCTTAGCACACAGGCACGATGCTGCGGGCGAACCTGCGAACTGCAAGGAGCAGAAGAAGAAGAATAACAAGAAGAAGAACAAAAATAAGAAGAAGAAGAAGAAGCAGAAGAAGAAGAAGGAAGCACGAAGACGAGGAGCAACGAAAAGCACCAGCACAGCATTGCCGTTGTGATGTCTTCCTAGCTTCCTGCTCTCGGCCACACGCATTTCCTTGTGCAGCTTGCAGCGCAATGTCGTCCTACAGCGCCGGTGCCCTCTGTGGCAAGTTTGAGGGGGGCATCCCTATCCATGCGGAAGACCGCGTGCTGTGGTTGATGCGAGAGCGCGGGCTGGCGAGGGAGACAGCGGAGTTACAGGTGATGAAAGAGTTTCCGGCGGCTTTTGTCGAGCCTGGAAGCAGGAGGTATGACCCGAAAGCCTCCTGCGGTAAGACAGAAGAGGGACAGCCGATCCTTGCCCAGGATCGTGTGTCGTGGTTAGTCAACAACAAGCAGATGGGACTGAAAGAAGCGGAGCAAATCGTCATGAACCAGTTTCCAGAATCTTTTCTGGGTCTCAAGCAGCCAGATGGGTCTCGTTATGACCCTTGCGCCATTTGTGGAAAAGACGGCAGTGGGGCACCCACCACCGCCGAAAGTCGCGTGCAGTGGCTGCTCCGAAACAAGAGTATGACTCGTGACCAGGCTGAGCAGACTGTCATGGACCAATTTCCCACGTCGTTCTCCTCGCTTTCGTCGTCTTCATCCGGAAGCAGGAGGTATGACCCGAAAGCCTCCTGCGGTAAGACAGAAACGGGACAGCCGATCCTTGCTGAGGATCGTGCGTCGTGGTTAATCCACAACAAGCAGATGAGCCGGAAAGAAGCCGAGCAAACCGTCATGAACCAGTTTCCAGAATCTTTTCTGGGTCCCATACAGCCAGATGGGTCTCGTTATGACCCTCGCGCAATTTGCGGAAAGGACGGAAGTGGGGCGTCCACAACCGCCGAAAGTCGAGTGCAGTGGCTGCTCCAAAACAAGAGCATGAGTCTTGGCTTTCCCTAAACCCTAAACCCTAAACCCTAAACCCTAAACCCTAAACCCTAAACCCTAAACCCTAAACCCCAAACTAGGAGGGTTCAGAAGTCAGCCAAGGAGTCGCGACCAGGCTGAGCAGACGGTCATGGAACAATTTCCCGCATCCTTCTCGTCGCAGTCATCGTCTTTATTGTTGCCATCCAAGTTTGGGCCGAAGAACCTCGGCATTGGTTACGGTTTGGTTGGGCCATTCAGTAACTCGCATGAGACCTTGCTGTCGCATCTCCAACAGCGTGGGGTCACAAGGCTCAAAACTTGGAGCATCGACGTCGCGTGGCTCAAGCAGGTTCGCTCAACGTTTGCTGACTCTGGTGTCCAAGTCACGGTCGCAATTCCAAACTGTGACTTGCACAAAGCTGTGAATGATGACACATTTCGTCAAGCGGTGATCAGCACACTGGTCACCTTTGCCGACATCGTGGACAAGCTTGCCATCGGCAACGAACCCGAGCACAAGGAAAACCACAAGCATCTTCGTAGCTGAGCCAGGTACACTTTACACTTTTTGGGATACTGTAACCCCCTATAGAACTGAAAGAGTACACTTTTTGGGGCTTATGAACTCAGCGACTAAGACACTGCTGGAAGCTTCTCGCTCCGGCATTTTTGGCCATGGATGACGCGGTGCACCACGCCGGCCTCAAGATCCAGGTGAAGCAGGGTTCATATTGCTGTTAGTGGTTCGTTCGTAAGGTTCCTTTTTGGTGTTGGTGAGTGTGTGTGGTTGGTGTCCGTTTGGGGATACAAGGAATATAAGCCCTGTTTCAGGTGATCGTTCCGTTTTGCGAAGCACTGTTGCAAGACACCTGGCCGGTTGAGAAATCGCGGGTGCGCCCCGAGTTGCTGGATGTGGTGAAGGTCATCACGGAGAGGCTGACGATGCGAAAAGGCTCGTTCTCCATCAACGTCTACCCGTTCTTTTCGCACGTGTACAACCCAAAAGACATCTCGGTGGCCTAGTAGTGGGGTAGGTAGCCTTTAACCTTTTTGGGGTGATCCCTAAACCCTAGATCCTGAACCCTAGACCCTAAACCCTAAGTACTGGACACGGACAACTAAGGTGGAGCTTGCGGTCGGTGGTCAGTTCCTGGCCCAAGTCTTGCGGTGCGTTCGGGCGGCTCTCACCAAAATCGGATGTGACCTAGGTACTACAGTACCCTTATTATCCCTTTCTTGTTTTGGGGGGGCTTCCTAATCAAAATTGAATTTTAACAAAAAGCGTACCCTCATTAACCCTAAACCCTAAACCCTACACCCTAAACCATAAACCCTAAACCCTAAACCGCAGGTGAGTGTTTGCCGATTATTGTCGGCGAGACGGGCTGGCCGACAGCTGGGCACTGCTCGGCGAGCATCTCCAACCTACAGAAGTACTTGGACAGTACCTTGGGGACCAAGACAGAACCCCCATTAGGGTTTAGGGTTTAGGGTTTAGGGTTTAGGGTTTAGGGTTTAGGGTTTAGGGTTTAGGGTTTAGGGTTCTATCTTAAAAAGGAATGGTAGTAGATGGGTATCTGGCCCTCCCCAGGTTAGGGTTCACGTGGTCATTCAAGGTACACGCGAGCTCGCTCGATCGAGCGGCCAAGAGATTTACTTCTTCGAGGCCTTCGACGAGTCTGCCAAGACGGGGGCCGAGCACGAGCGGCACTTCGGCGTGTTTGAGCAGAACGGGCAGCCGAAATAAAAGCGCAGGATCAAGCAATTTAGGGTTAAGTTTAGGGTTTAGGGTTTAGGGTTTAGGGTTTAGGGTTTAGGGTTTAGGGTTTAGGGTTTGGGGTTTGGGGTTCGGGGTTTGGGGTTTAGGCTTTAGGGTTCCCCCCTTATTCAAACAGTCCTTGTAGTAGCCCTAGTAGAATCCCTATCAAGGACTGTTAGTGTAAGGGTGAACATCCAACAGATCGAGCAAGTGTTTGATCAAGGGTGGTCCGGCTACTTGTCTACACGGGGTGTTTTTTGGCCTGTTTTTGCGTGTTTCAACAGTAGACGTACAGGCCACCCCCTGACAGGCTGTACAAAAGCGTTGGTCCCAGTCTGACCGTGGCACCACAGACTCCAAGTTTGATGTGTCCAGTCACAGGCAACATGTTAACATACGTCCAGCACAGGAATTTGCAGTCCATAGTTTACTCTAGACCCTAGACCCTAGACCCTAAACCCTAAACCCTAAACCCTAAACCCTAGGGGAGCTCGGAGTCCCGGTTTAGTCAGGGTTCAGGGTTCAGGGTGTAGGTTTTAGGGTTTAGGGTTTAGGCTTCTCCTCCCTCCCCCCCAACACACCCACAAGAGACCCCGAATATGGGACTGTTAGGGGAGAAAGGGTTTAGGAATTGGTGCTCTGGGTGTTTTTGGGGTTTAGGGACCCGAAACCCTGAAGCGGAAACAATCGGGCCTGACTCGGTGTCGCTTGCCGTCCCAGCTGCTTGCTCCAGTCCTCACCCTGGTTACACACCCACATGCCCAGCGCGTGCCCCCATGTTGCATAAAGCCCCAGAGCCTTTGAGCTCTCGCAACCCTGAAGCCCTTCATGCCTACATTGCCTCCAGGCCACCCTAAACCCTAAACCCTAAACCCCTGAGCCACACAAGCCACATCTTCCTAAGCCCAGCAAGCCCGCAGAACACACCCAGAGCCTAGGCCCTTCACCCGCAGAGATCTGCGGCGGGATCAGGGTTCAGGGTTCAGGGTTCAGGGTTCAGGGTTCAGGGTTCAGGGTTTAGGGTTTAGGGTTTAGGGTTTAGGGTTTAGGGTTTAGGGTTTAGGGTTTAGGGTTTCGGGTTTAGGGTTTACAGGCTTCCCGGCCATGGCTTCTGCGATGTACAGCGTGGCCCTGCGCTCCGTCCTACCAGAGAAGAACCAACAGGCGAGGGCCGACATGGCCCGATTGTGAGTTAGGGTATAGGGTTTAGGGTTTGGGGTTTAGGGTTTAGGGTTTAGGGTTTAGGGTTTAGGGTTTGGGGTTTGGGGTTTGGCGTTTGGCGTTTGGGGTGTGGGGTTTAGAGTTGGCCCACGGGCAGTGGTTGTGAGTTAGGGCTTCGGGTTCAGGGTTTGGGGTTTAGGGTTCAGGGTTTAGAGGTTTAGGGTTCGGGGTTTAGGGTCTAGCGTTCGGGGTTTAGGGTTTAGGGCTTAGGGGCAAACCATCTGGAGTTTCATTTCTTCGTAACCCAGTACGATCGACCTTCTAATGAATGAATGTCTCGTTGGAACTTGATGGGGGGGACTCTCGCCTTCAGCCCCTAGGTCCCAAAACCCTATAAGCACTGAGGCCCATGTCCCTGTAAGCCCACTACCCGTGAACACCACAAGCCCTAGACCCTAAGCACTAGACCCTAGACCCTAGACCCTAGACCCTAAACCCTAAACCCTAAACCCTAAACCCTAAACCTCAGCACTAGAAGCTGCAAACTCCCAAGTCCTAAACTCCCAAACCCTCGTGCACGAGGGAGCTTGAAGGTAGGACCGACTCCGGTGGCGTTTGGGGTTTAGGGTTTAGGGTTTAGGGTTTAGGGTTTAGGGTTGTGGGTTTTGGGTTTTGGGTTTAGGGATTAGGGTTAGGGTTTAGGGTCTAGTGAGGGTATAGGATTTACAGACGGTACAAACTGCAGGAGCAGAAAAGGCGGCAGTTCGCCTGGAGAAAAGGAGATGCCAGTGGCTACCCGCAAGGACGTCGGGCTGTTCAGGGGGCATTTAATTCTGCTTCTTGGTTTCGGCGAGCTTCCACCAAAGGGTACTTGAAAGAACATATCTGTTGTATTCCAATCTTCCTGGGGCTCAACTTTTTCGGGTCACTTCTGTGTTTGCATTCGCTCGGTAGAGCCTTGAACTGAACGCAGTTCGAGTTGGAGAGACCCTACGCCAAAACCCTAAACCCTGAACCCCAAACCCCAAGCCCCAAACCCTAAACCCGAAACCCTAAACCCTAAACCCTACATCCTAAACCCTAATAGCCTTTTGGCCAGGGGGTGTGGGCCTTGAAGTTTTGGGGCCTGGGGCGTATTGGGCTACATTTCGGCGCAATGTGCTCCCTAAACCCTAAACCCTAAACCCTAAACCCTAAACCCTAAACCCGAAATAGGTTCACCCTTGGTCGGCTCGAAACCTCCCACAAGACTCGCCTGCGCCCGGAGGAGCTGATGACGACCGACCGCGGAATGTCGAACCCGAGTTTGACCAGCACCCTGTCTCTAAACCCCTAAATCCTAAATCCTAGACCCTAAACCCTGAAGCCTAAACCCCTAAACCCTAAACCTGAAAATCCTAAACCGTAGCCGAAACCCTATAGCCCAAAAGCCCTCAACTGGAAATCAGTCCCTGGCGTCCCTGTCGAATATCCCATGAAGCATGGGGATCCTAATTCCCAAATCCCTCGTAGACCCTGAACCCTGGTGCAGGTTCCCTGCAGTAACACTTGAGGCCACACTCCCTCTTAAGAACCAGATTCAGGGTCGATTTGGGCTAAGGCCCGCTTTTCAGGGTTTAGGGTTTAGGGTTTAGGGTTTAGGGTTTAGGGTTTAGGGTTTAGGGTTTAGGGTTTAGGGTTTAGGGTTTAGGGTTTAGGGTTTAGGGTTTAGAGCAAGTTGGGGCGTGCGATGCTCAGGAGCTTAGGCTTTGCAGGACCTTAGGACGTACGTTTGAAGATTTAACCAAGAGCCCTAAACCCGGAACCCTAAACCCTAAACCCTAAACCCTAAACCCTAAACCCTAAACCCTAAACCCTAAACCCTAAACCCTAAACCCTAAACCCTAAACCCTAAACCCTAAACCCTGAAGCCGAAGCTCCCTAACTCCCAACCCGAAGCACCCAACAATCCGGAAACCAAGCTGCAGAACTCTCGACGAGGGTCTGCGGTTTAGGGGTGATTTTCCCTAAGCAACCCTGCACACCCCGTTCACAGCTTTGATGCACCCCACGCTCCGAAGCACCCAACCCCCTACACCCCAACCCCTAAACCCTAAAACCCTAAACCCGAAACCCTAAACCCCGAAACCCCTAAACCCTAAATCCTATAGACCCAGGAGTGACAATTTTGAGTCGGAGCCTTTCCGCACCTCGGCGTACGGACTCATGCTGCACTTTAAGGGCTCAGAGTTTAGGGTCTTGGGGTTTAGGGTTGAGGGCTTAGGGCCTAGGGCTTGGGTTTAAAATTTATTGAAATTATTAAAGTTTCAGGTCCGCGGAAAGTTTCGAGGACAAAGTGTCGAGGAACGTTTCTTTTTTCAACTGTCGAATAATTTCAAGTTACAGGGGCTTGAGGGTTTAGATTTTCGGTTTCAATTGTTTGACCCTGGCAGCCCCTGCTATCTCAAGACTGAGGCCTTTAGAGGTCTGAGGCTTCAGGGCAACCGGAAGGCTTTTCAGAAGGGTTTAGGGTTTACGGTTTGCGGTTTACGGTTTAGGGTTTAGGGTTTGGGGTTTAGGGTTTAAGGTTTACGATTCAGCGACTTCAGTGTTTAGGGTTTAGGGCTTAGGCTCCTTAACTGATGCAAGGGCCTCGTCAAACCCCACAGCCGCAAAGGATTCGGTGGCCGCCCAATGCCACCTGCTGCGCAGGCCATGGCTGAGCAGGCCCGGGCCTGGGCACTGGGCACAAAGGGCTTAAAGCACTCGCCCCCTGTAAGACGTTCTAAACCCTAAACCCTAAACCTTTTGGGGCTACCAGTAAAACGCGGCCCCTAAGATAAGGGTACCCCAAAAAGGGACCATAATTTAGGGAAACTGACCATTCGGGGTTTAGGGTTTCGAGTTTAGGGTTTAGGGAAGCCAATGTGGGTTTTGGGAGGCTTGATTTGCCATGCCTGGCATTGGCCATCTTCGCTCTGCCATTGTCGCTCTAGCGTCGGCCCAAAAAGACTGGTTTGGATGAACCCAAATCCCTAAACCCTAAACCCTAAACCCTAAACCCTAAACCCTAAACCCTAAACCCTAAACCCTAAACCCTAAACCCTAAACCCTAAACCCTAAACCCTAAACCCTAAACCCTAACCTAAACCCTAAACCCTAAACCCTAAACCCTAAACCCTAAACCCTAAACCCTAAAACCTAAACCCTAAACCCTAAACCCTAAACCCTAAACCCTAAACCCTAAACCCTAAACCCTAAACCCTAAAACCCTAAACCCTAAACCCTGAACCCTGAACACGGAACCCTGAACCCTGAACACGGGCGAATCTTCGGGCCGAAGTTGGTAGCTCCTGGTTCTCTTGCATGTGTTGAATAGGGAAGTGGGAAAAAATCTACCGCATATCTCCCGAGTGCAACTCTTTCATGGATGCTAAAGGGCTCCTAGCTCCCGAAACCCAACCCTCAAACCTACACACTACATCCCAAACCCTAAGACCCTAAGACCCTAAAACCCTAAAACCCTAAAGCCCCAAAACCCTAAAACCCTAAAACCCTAACACCCTAAAACCCCAAAACCCTAAAGCCCTAAAACCCTTATCACCCGAAAACCCTAAAACCCTAAAACCCTAAAACCCTAAAACCCTAAAACCCTAAAACCCTAAAACCCTAAAACCCTAAAACCCTAAAACCCTAAAACCCTAAAACCCTAAAACCCTAAGACCCTAAGACCCTAAAACCCTAAACCCTAAAACCCTAAAAAACCCTAAAACCCTAAGACCCTAAAACCCTAAAACCCTAAAACCCTAAAAAACCCTACACACTACATCCCAAACCCTAAAACCCCAAAACCCCAAAACCCTAAAAAACCCTAAAACCCTAAAACCCTAAAACCCTGAAACCCTAAAACCCTAAAACCCTAAAACCCTAAACCCTAAATCAACTTTGCAAGACGAACTGGTCGGCGGTTCGATGTGTCCGCCTTGACAATCGTAAACCCCCCACCGCGTTTTTTTCCGGTTTTTTGGGGTTTAATCCCCTCCACCAAAATCCACCGAATGTTAAACCCCCCCCCCTACCTTTTTTTTAGCTAATTTTATATAAAAAAGGGCCCCTATATAGAAATACTACCCCCAAATGTGAAAACACTTCCCCCATTATAGCTAGATTGCAGTTTCTTGGGTTTTTGTTCACATTCGGGGGTAGGGGGGGGGGTTTAATGTTAGGGGAGGGGTTTACAGCTCAGCCCTAGCGAACCACTATGGGAAAAAAGCTGTGTGGGAATCTGAGACCTCACTGCCTTCAATCGCTGGGCCGCTTGGGGGTCGGGGGGGGGGGGGGGTTTCGTGTAATTAAGGCTTTAGGCTTTAGGGGGCGGAGTCCCGTGCAAGATACATAGGGCCCAGGAACCCTGAACCCTAAACCCTAAACGGGATGTATTTATTGTAGGATTTTGGGTTTAGGGTAGGACACCTTCACGCGTCCACCTCCCCAGGTTCAAGGGGTGTTTAGGTATGAAAGGGCTTGCAGGGGCTCTCAACGCTAAACCCTAAACCCGGAACCCTGAACCTAATTAAACCCTAAACCCTAACCTCCACGGCACCCATCTGCAACCCCCCAGGTACCCCACCCACAAAGTACCTTCATGGATAAATTTGGGTTGGTTTTGGTCTCAGGGCGTCACATTGGGATCTTCCTTCTTGTACTAGCAGTCCTTAAAAGGGATTACAGTACCCCCAAATGTAATCCCTATTGAGGACTGTTAGTATAAACGGGGAACATGCCAAGTTTCGCCCGTGGTGTGGGGTGTTTTCGGAGGGTTCATGGTGTAGGCTTTAAGGTTTCGGGCTAAACCCTAAACCCTAAACCCTAAACCCTAAACCCTAAAACCTAAACCCTAAACCCTAAACCCTAAACCCTAAACCCTAAACCCGACATCGAGGCTGTTCGAGAAGTGGCTTACATGGCCAAGGAGGCCAGACGAGCGAGCGAGTCTTCAGCCCCCTACACCCCTTCCTAGTTGTAGAGTAGGTAACCTTTAACCTTTTTGGGTTTAGGGTTTAGGGTTTAGGGTTTAGGTTTTAGGTTTTAGGGACGCCGGGGACTGGCTGTGCACACGTCGCGCTTTAACCTTTTTGGGGTAATATCATCCCCTTATAATCCCAAAGGTTAACCTTTAGTTCCCCCAGGTTACTGGACAACTACGCCTTAAACCCGCAACTCTTCACCCTAAACCCAAACCGTCACGGGACGAAGACTCGTGTGTGTAAGGTTGCAACGCTGCATGTTGCCCTTAATGTACTCCAAATCTGGCCCTGATACCACCTCAGGGATCTTCAACAGGTTGCCCAAAGCCATATACTACAATATAGCCGTACTGGGAGTGTTTAATACTAGTGGGGGTTGAATGTTACGAGAGGAGGGGATTACCCTGAACCCCAAGCCCAACCCCCCCCCCCCCCAAATCCGAAACCCTGAACCCTGAACCCTGAACCCTGAACCCTGAACCCTGAACCCTGAACCCTGAACCCTGAACCCTGAACCCTAAACCCTAAACCCTAAACCCTAAACCTAAACCCTAAACCTAAACCCTAAACCCTAAACTCTAATACCCTAATACCCGAAACCCTAAACCCATAGCCGTCACAGGCGCTCATGGTGGAGCAAGCGCGGGAGGACAGAGGGCCTAAACCCTAAGCCCGAAAGCCCCGAAACCCCAAGCCCTGAACCCTACACACCGTATTCTCAGGGGTACCGAACTCCGCATTGCATTATACGAAAGATACAGGGTTTAGGGCTTACCTTGAGAATCCAAACCTACTTTTTTGCAGGTTCCCCAACCTGAGAATCCAATGAAGTGTTTTGCACCTTCAAAAGGTAGGTTTTGGGGTTCCTAAGGTAGGGTTGAAGAAGACATAGAGCTGAGGAGTGAACCGGTGTAGAATTGTAGTCAGAGATGGAACCGCACCCCTATATGGGCATGTCCCAAAATAGGGTAACCCTTTCATACCCCAAATAGAATAGAGTCCCCTTGAAGGGACCCCCCCCCCCAAAAAAAAAAAAAAAAAAACTATTTTCGGAAGCCCCCATATACATGCGCGCATGTGAATGATACAACTTAGCCTGCGGCGTGGCGCTTGGTCCCCCAGGCTGCGCCTAGAGGAACAACGGCCTAAACCCTAAACTCTAAACCTTAAACCCTAAACCCTAATTCTAAAGCCAGAAGCCCTAATTGCAGTTTAGGGTTTAGGGTTTAGGGTTTAGGGTTTAGGGTTTAGGGCTCAGGGTTTAGGGTTTACGGTTTAGGAACCCTCAGCCCTGAAGCCACAAACTTCCCAACAAAAGCTGAAAAAGGAGAAGAACCTCGAACTGGCCGAGTCGGGTCCTGCCGAGTACTTGGTCGAAGCTCGACGGGCATCAGCTGGCAAAAGGGCATAGGGGTTTAGGGTTTAGGGTTTAGGGTTTAGGGTTTAGGGTTTAGGGTTTAGGGTTTAGGGTTTAGGGTTTAGGGTTTAGGGTTTAAGGTGAGTGGAAGTTCAAGGGTTTAGGGGTTTAGAGTTGGTAGGGCTTCAGGGGTTTTCGGGTCTACGGGGGTTGTTGGGGTTTTCGGGCTTAGGCCTGTAGGAGTTTTCGGGCTTTACGGTTTAGGGTTTATGCTTCGGGGTTTCGGGTGCAGGGGTGTAGGTTTGTAGTGATAGGTTGAGGTTTTAGTAGCGCGGATGGGCCTCCCAAGGACAACAGCGTTCTTCAGGCGCACGCGCCAGGAATCACGCCCCTTGGCAGCAGCTACTTCGAATTCTGGGGGCCCTGCTCAGCGGGTCCCCCGAAACCGTGCCCCTAAACCCTAAACCCTAAACCCCAAACCCCAAACCCCAAACCCCAAACCCCAAACCCCAAACCCCAAACCCCAATCAGTGTTCAGGGGCTCCTTAATGATATGATTTCCTCAGCCTGAAGTGAACATATCAGATAACCGGTTTAGGAAGTTTAGGGCTTAGGGCTTTGCAGGACTTGAATGGCTTAGGAAGTTTAGGTGGTTTGGGTTTAGGTTTAGGGTTTAGGATATTAGGGTTTAGGGTGTTAGGGCTAGGGCGGCTAGGGCTTAGGGTTCAGGGGCCCTAGAAAACCCTTGTAGGGTTTAGGTTCCCTATGGTTGCGTTATCTCTGCCAGGGTTGTGAACTGAAGCCCGCGGAAATTCTGAACCTCATAAACCCGAAGCCCAGGTTTCGCTTCAGTGACTTGGCTGCACAGGGTTTAGGGTTTGTTTAGGGTTTCAGGGTTTAGGTTTTAGGTTTAGGGTTTTAGGTTTTTAGGGTTTTAGGGTTTTAGGGATTTTAAGGGTTGAGGAATTTCCGGATTTAAGGAGTCGGTGTCAGGGTAGGTACATTTAAGTGTATCAGGCTCTCAGGGGATGAGGATGTAGATTGCTAGGGCTTCGGGTGTACGCAGTTTGTCATTTTAGAGTTCAGCATTTAGGGCTCAAAGTCAAAGTTTCGGGTTCAGGGCTTGGGGTTTAGGGTTTAGGATTTAGGGTTTAGGGTTTAGGGTTTAGGATTTGGGGTTTAGGAGTTAGGGTTTGGGGTTTAGGGTTTAGGATTTAGGGTTTAGGGTTTAGGGTTTAGGACTAGGGTTTAGGGTTTAGGGTTTGGGGAGTGTGGGCTTTCGTCAGCCCCTGGGTTCGCAGCTTCTGGGATGGGACGCATCCTTGCTGGCCCGGTGGGTACCCTTTTGCCCCTAAACCCTAAACCCTAGACCCTAAACCCTAAACCCTAAACCCTAAACCCCAAACAGGTCTGAGGGTTAAGGGTTTAGGGTTTGGGGTTTGGGGTTTAGGCTGCGACCCCAGACTCTATAGTAGGGAGTCTAGGTTCACCGGGATTTAGAAACTTTACGGACTTGCGGATTTAGGGTGCAAAGGTGCTAATGAGCTCAAATCCAAACTCTGCCCCAGACGGAATAAGGGCCTACTCTGGGTCATAGTAGCCCTAAACCCTAAACCCTAAACCCTAAACCCTGAACCCTAAACCCTAAACCCTGAACGCCTAAACCTCGCAGCTGATTGCAGTAAACCCCAAAGCCCCCGACAAGAAAGGGGACCGCCTCTTACAGCCGCACGGTTACCCACTTAGAACTTTAAGCCGTAATCTCAGATCAAAGTCCTAAACCCCCGAACCCTAAACCCCTAAACCCCAACACCCTAAAGCCCTCTGGACCCTAAGCCCTAAACTCTAAACCCTAAACCCTAAACCCTAAACCCTAAACCCTAAACCCTAAACCCTAAACCCTAAACCCTAAACCCTAAACCCTAAACCCTAAACCCTAAACCCTAAACCCTAAACCCTAAACCCTAAACCCTAAACCCTAACCCTAAACCCTAAACCCTAAACCCTAAACCCTAAACCCTAAACCCTAAACCCTAAACCCTAAACCCTAAACCCTAAACCCTAAACCCTAAACCCTAAACCCTAAACCCTAAACCCTAAACCAAACCCAAGAGCACGTATGGCAGCAAAAGGCAAGCGCATGGAGGATCGAGACGATCTTGGGGAGCTGGCGGCCTTCGGAACCTCAGCCCCTGGGCTTGGAAGTATGGGGTGTAGGGTTTAGGGTTTAGGGTTTGGGGTTTAGGGTTTAGGGCTTTAGGGCTTTAGGGTCTTAGGGGTCTTATGGGTCTTAGGGTTTAGGGTTTTAAGGTTTAGGGTTTATTTGGGGTTCTAGGGTTTAGGTTTTAGGTTGGTTCAGGGTTTTAGGGGTTTAGGGTTTTAGGGTTTTAGGTGGTTAGGGTCTTATGATTTTAGGGTTTAGGGTTTAGGGTGTAAGTGGATCGCTGCCCTTGTCAAGGTGGGCGGCCTGTGTGTCGTGCTTGAGGTTGCTGTGGTTTGGGGCGTTTTGGAGCAGGGTTGGGGTTTCGGGTTTCAGGCTGTCAGGTTCTAGGGTTCTAGGGTTCTAGGGTTTCAGGGTTTCAGGGTTTCAGGGCTTCAGGGTTTCAGGGTTTCAGGGTTTCAGGGTTTCAGGGTTTCAGGGTTTCAGGGTTTAGGGGTACCCGCATGGCTACGCAGCTCAGGTCCTGGGCATCGACGAGGGGGATGGCTGCTTGCTGAGATGGCTTGGAAACGATGCTTGTTCGGTGCCGCCAAGTTGCGCAAACTCCAAACCCTAAAGTTCTAAAATCCTGAACCCTAATCTACAAAACCCTAAACCCTAAACCCTAAACCCTAAACCCTAAAAGTCTCCAGGGTTGAACGCATGACCAAGGCTGGCTCCGAGTCCAGAACCCCCACGGCGAGATACGGTACCTACCCACGGAGATCCAGGCGTGGGCTTAGGGTTTAGGGTTTAGGGTTTAGGGTTTAGGGTTTAGGGTTTAGGGTTTAGGGTTTAGGGTTTAGGGTTTAGGGTTTAGGGTTTAGGGTTTAGGGTTCTACTTACCTACAGTTTTGTAGTCACTACACTTAATTCCTAGGGTTTAGGGTTTAGGGTTTAGGGTTTAGGGGTTAAGGGTTTAGGGTTTAGGGAAAGAGGTTCCAAGGTAGGATTTGGGGCGGGTTGGAGGGTTTGGGGGTTAGGGTTTTAGGGAAGTCTTCTGTTTAAGGGCGTAGGGGTTAGGGTTTAAGGTTTAGGGCTTAGGGCTTCGGGCGTAGATCCTAGGGTTTAGGGCGAAGGGGCTGGTGCCCTCACTACGGGAATGAAGGAACGGACGATGTGGGGTCGGGCCGAAGCTAAAAGCCAGCCAAGCCAACCAAAGTCCTGAAACCCTCGAAAGTCCTCAAATGCAAGCCCCAGAGGCTTCAAAATACAAGCCCGTTTAGGGTTTAGGGTTTAGGGTTGAGGGTTTAGGGTTTGGGGTTGAGGGTTTAGGGTTTAGGGTTTAGGCCTGACCTTGCTATACCCGACTTTTGCCCTACACCCTGAAACCTTGCGCAGCAAGTCTCCCGCACCCTTTGCTTCCTTCGGTTTCCCATGAGCCCTTTTTGTCACGCTGGGCTTCGCCCAAGAGGGTGTAGGGTTTAGGGTTAGGATTCACGGTTGTGTTCTGTTCTGTGGGGCACTTGGACGGTTTAATGTGCAAACTTTAAGGCGTTTAAAAATCCCTAAGCCCCCAAGGCCACAGGCCCCAAACAAAGGGGTCGGAATAGTTACTAATAGTGTTCCCTTATGTTCCCGATATATTTATACCATAATAGTCCCCAAAGCCCTATTCCAACTATCAAGAATCCCTATACTAGGCAATAGCCCTAAACCCTAAACCCTAAACCCTAAACCCTAAACCCTAAACCCTAAACCCTAAACCCTAAACCCTAAACCGCCCCCCCCCTCCCCCGCTATACCCAAGCAATAGACCTGCACAGGGCGTGACTGTCCTCTCCCGGGCCGCCGCGACGCAGCAGCGTCAGGCTGAACCGCCGGTTTAGGGTTTAGGGGTTTAGGGTTTAGGGGTTTAGGGGTTTAGGGGTTTAGGGGTTTAGGGGTTTAGGGGTTTAGGGGTTTAGGGGTTTAGGGGTTTAGGGGTTTAGGTTTAGGGGTTTTTAGGGTTTAGGGGGTTAGGGTTTAGGGGTTTAGGGGTTTAGGGGTTTAGGGGGGTTTAGGGGTTTAGGTTTTTTAGAGGATTTAGGGGTTTAAGGGGTTTAGGGGGTTTAGGGGGTTTAGGGGGTTTAGGGGGTTTAGGGGGTTTAGGTTTAGGGTTTAGGGTTTAGGGGTTTAGGGGTTTAGGGTTTAGGGGTTTAGGGGTTTAGGGGTTTAGGGGTTTAGGGGTTTAGGGGTTTAGGGGTTTAGGGTTTAGGTTTAGGGGTTTAGGGTTGAGGGATGAAGGTGTAGGGATTGATTAGGTTTCGGACTTTTGGGAGGTTGAAGGCTTTTTGGGCTTAGATGCTGTTTAGGATCTAGGCTTCAGGGTTTAGGGTCTGTAGGGTGAATACAGTAACTAGGTTGTTATGCCTTTGACTCTTTGCAACATGCAAGCTCGCAAACCCTCTAAACCCGAAGGGGTGGTCTTTGTTTTCCCCAAGGGTTCTGCAAAAGGGAAGCAACCCTCAACCCTAAACCCTAAACCCCAGAAACCCTCAAAACCGGAAGGCCCCAGCCCTATGCGGGGAATTTGAAGGTTGAGGGTTCGGGTATAGGAGTTACACCCTAAACCCTAAGGCCCTCGACCCTAAACTACCCCGCAGGTCCCCCCGAGCTTGACCCGAAAACCCTGCAGCACTGGAAATCCCCCACGCTACACCTTAAACCCTAAACCCTCAGCCCCTTGAACTGCGTAAACGCCCTAGACCTAGACCCCCTAACTCGAAGCGCCACACCCCAAACCCTAAGCCCCAAGCCCTAAACCCCAAACCCTAAACCCCAAACTCCTAAACCCCAAACCCTAAACCCTAAACTCTACGCCCCAAACCTAGCATATACAGAAGCGCTGTCCCCAGGTGCGCGAGGAGCGCCAGAGGCGCGCCGAAGCGGCAGAGCGGCAGCAGAAGGATCTCGAGGCCGGCTTTTGGGGGGCTTGGGGTTTGGGTTTAGGGTTTAGGGTTTAGGGTTTAGGGTTTAGGGTTTAGGGTTTAGGGTTTAGGGTTTAGGGCTTGGGGTTTTAGGGTTTAGGGTTGTGCCTTGGAAAGGTCGGTGGACCTGCACGGCTGACATGGCCCTGCGAAGACACTAGCGGTTCAGGGTTTTTTTTCAGAGTTTAGGGTTTAGGGTTCAGGGCTGATAAGCTCGAGGAGGCCCTCAACCCCCAACCCTTATTCTAAACCCCCAACCCCAAACGTTGGGCCCAAGCCCTGAAGGATGCTTTGTTCTAAACCCTAAACCCTAAACCCTAAACCCTAAACCCTAAACCCTAAACCCTAAACCCTAAACCCTAAACCCTAAACCCTAAACCCTAAACCTGCTCATGCTACGTCTTCTCCGCCAGACGGACGCGGAGTCGGCTACTCTGGAAAGGTCTTGCAGCCCCACATCCTCCGCCACTCTGGCGCCTCAAACGACAGGGCGCACAACCGGAGAGGGCGTTCCCAGACAACCAAAAAAGAGGGGCCCCTTGGGCCGCAAAGAAGAGCGTCCTTCGGTACGAGAAGGTGGCGCTCGTGCAACGGACTGGGAGTTTGCTCCTGCACATCGGCTTCCTACAGGCTCAAACCCGTCAAACTCCCAAACCCCAAGCCCTGAAACCGCCAAATCCCCAAGCCCCTAAGCCCTCAAACTGAAGCCTAACCCATCTAAATCCGAAGGGCCCTAGACCGTACAAGCCCTGAAGTCCTTGTAAGCCCTAAACCCTAAACTCCAACTCCCTAAACCCTAAACCCCCTAAACCCTGATTCCAACAACCCTAAACCTCGACCCTAAGAAACCCCAAAAATAACCCCAACCCCCCCCCCCCCCCAAAAAAAAAAAAAAAAAACACAAGCAGCAATGAGCAAGCATCCTAAACCAAGCCCGAAAAAGCCTGAGCAACCCTCTTAAGAAACCCTTTAACTTGCCTGAGACAACCCAAAGCCTTACACCCTAAACCCTAAACCGTAAGCCTTAAGCCCTTAACCCTCAACCCTAAACCCTAAACCCTAAACCCTAAACCCTAAACCCTAAACCTAAACCCTAAACCCTAAACCCTAAGCCCTAAACCCTAAACCCAAAACCCTCCCTCGTTGAAGTCAGGCCTGGCAGCGCCGCGCAGAGGAAGCGGAGCGCCTCCGCCAGGAGCGGCTGAAATGGGAGGCCGAGGGCCGAGTAAACCCTACACCCTAGACCCTAAACCCTAAACCCTAAACCCTACACCCTAAACCCTCAACCCTCAACCCTCAACCCTCAACCCTCAACCCTCAGCCCTCAACCCTAAACCCTAAACCCTAAACCCTAAACCCTAAACCCTAAACCCTAAACCCTAAACCCTAAACCCTAAACCCTAAACCCTAAACCCTAAACCCGAAGCGAACCTAGAGACTTCAGGTCCCAGAGGCCCTAAACTCTCAGCCCCACGGCGCAGAACAGAAAGAAACATACAAAAGCGCATGAGGAACCTTGAGGTGGAGAGGTTTAGGGTTTAGGGTTTAGGGTTTAGGGTTTAGGGTTTAGGGTTTAGGGTTTAGGGTTTAAAGGGTTTAGGGTTTAAGGTTTAGAGTTTAGAGTGAGCACGAAAAAATAGTCAGAAGTTCGGTTTCGAAGAGCTAGAAAGTGTGCTAAAAGCAAACAAAAGAAGAAATCACTGAACCCTAAACTATCCTAGGCTGCCCTAAGCCCTGAATGCTGAAGTTTAGGCCTCCGAGAAAAATTTTGCCCAGGGTAGCCCAAACACCAAGGCTTCGGGTTTAGGGTTAATTGGTTTAGGGTTTGGGGCTTGGGGCGCAGGGTGTTGAAAGTGTATCTAGGGTTCCAAGTAGACATATATAAATATATATATACATATACTAATACAAAAAAACAATAAGGGCCAATGCTGCGGATCCCCATAAAACAAGGGTGCAAGGGTAAGGGACCATACTAAGGGCCCATGGTTCCAACCTTAGAGTTTCCCTAAACCCTAAACCCCAAACCCCCAAACCCGAAACCCTAAACCCTAAATCCTAAACCCTAAATCCTAAACCCTAAACCCTAAACCCGAAACCCTAAACCCGAAGCGTTGGCCCCACCGAGGCAGAGCGAAAGGCTAAGGAGAAGGAGGAGGAAGATCCTCAGGCGCCTGGTGCCCTAAACCCTAAACCCTAAACCCTAAACCCTAGACCCTAAACCCCTAAACCCTAAACCTTAAACCCCAGACCCTAAACCCTCAACACTCAACCCTGAACCCTAAACCCTCATTCCTAAACCCTAAGCCCAAGAGGATGTCTTTGTTTTTTGGACCGGCGTTGGCATGCCTAGGGCTACAGGACCTAAGCCCTGAACTGAACCCCTGGACCCTAAACCCCAAACACTAAACCCTAAACCTCTCAATGGAGGGTATGGGGATTCAGCATTCCTAAACTCGCAACGCACAAGCTCAAGTTCTACACCCTGCACTCTCAGTGGCCCGAGCGGCTTGCGCATGGCTTTCATGGGAGTGTTGGGTTCAGGATTTTGGGTTTTGGATTCAGGGTTTCGGGTTTAGGGCTTAGGGTTCAATGTCTGGTTTTAGGGGGCGGACGCAGCACAAAGCATACGCTTTTTGATTTGAAAGATGATGGCGTGTGCTAGCTCAGTCCATATAGTTATGGGGTTTGAGGGTCGAGAGGGCTCACCCTAAGTAACCCTAAGCCTTAAATCCTCATATTGTCTGTTTGAACTGGTCCCTGACCCTGAGCCCCCAACTGCTTAGTCCCTAGGACCCCATAAGCCCCTTAAAGCCGAAACCTCAAACCCTCAACCCTGCAATCCTTAAACCCCTGAACCATATATAAAAAAGAACTAAGCCTTAAACCCGAAACGCTGTCCTTAAAACTTCCAAACCTTAAGCCCTAAACCCTAAACGCTAAACCCTAAACCGTGTAAGAACTAACCCTTAAACCCTAAACCCTCAAGCGTGTAAACTCTGTCGACTCTGCAGCCCATGAACCCCAAACCCTAAACCCTACAACCAACTCAGGGAACCCTAAACCCTAAACCCTAAACCCTAAACCCTAAACCCTAAACCCTAAACCCCAAGTACTAAACCCTACCCCAAGTTCTAGACCCTAAGCCCTAAGCCCTAAGCCCTAAGCCCTAAGCCCTAAGCCCTAAGCCCTAAGCCCTAAGCCCTAAGCCCTAAGCCCTAAGCCAGGATCCGCTTCGACGCACGGACGGCCGCAAAATCGCCGGCCGCACCAGGCCTCTTGACCGGGGGGGGGGGGGGGGGGGGGAGGGGGGTTGAGGGTTTAGGGTTTAGGGTTTATGTGGTTTATGGTTTTGGGGTTTGGGGTTAGGGCGTAGAGGGTTTCAGGTTGGGTTTTGGGGTTGAGGGTTTAGGCACTGCTCCTGGAGCAAGATTCTACTAACCTAAACCCTAAACCGAATCCTTAGACCATTCCTTACTTTCCAGTCTCGCGAAGTTCCGGGCGACTTTGTATGGCCTTAGCCTGATATAGAGTTTGGCACCCCTAGTGAGCTCGAGTCCAAACCCCCACAAAAGTCCTGTCTATGTAGGTAATGTTGGTTTTAGTTCGGGGTTTGGGGCTACCTTACAAGCAGGGCCCCCCCTTACTTTAACTGTAGTTCGGGGAGTTATATCTCAGATCATAAGACTTTTCACCCCTTACAACCTACTTATTACTTGGGGGCCCCAGGCACTCAAACCCTAAGCCCCTGAACACAGTGGTATCGGAAATTCGGTTCCTTTTTCGGATCCTGTATATAGCACGGCGCCCTTAAATGAAGAACCCGAAAAGGGACTTCAGCTTCGAGAACCACCCCCGAAACCCTAGAGGAGATTGAACTCCAGCTCCGTCTCCTGAGCCCAATACGCGTCTGATATCTGGAAGGGATTCGACGGACTCTCTAGTCTTGGACCTCCGACCTTGGTGTCATGAGGGGGGAGTTGAAATTAATGGCTTGAGGCAGTTAGCCCAAGAAGGGTGACCGCATGACTCTCCTACGGGAGGCCTTCCGGCTGCGAGCTGAAATTCAGACCATGTTTCTATGACTTGGAACGCTGGACGGGAGGGTATATGGACCCTGGTCCGTCATTGGGGCCCATCTGTATCTCCCCACTGGTATCGCGGCTTCAAAGACCACCGATTGGACCACACGTGGTTGTTCAAGCACTTCTCGGCGGAGTGCCCTAACTTTCGCTCCTGTCTTCCCTGGCATGGGCATTGTGGATGTATATGGGGATTTCAGCCCCAGGAAGCCTCAGCAGGCATAGAGAGTGGGCCTAAACCCTAAGCCCTAAAGTTGTGGTTTAGGATGAGGCGTTTAGGTTCGAAAGCGGAGTGTCAAAAGCGCTTTGTTTTTTGTTACATCACAAGGCTCTACGTCCCCCAATAATCGTGCCCCTCAAACCTCAACCCTCAAACCCTCAGTCCCGAAACCCTAAACCCTAAAACCGTATCCTGGCTAGGGGTGTGCTTGAGCGGCACTACGCTGGCGAGGAGGAGGAGGCAGGGGCTTGTGCCAAGGGCTTGGTGGGGATTGCCCTTAACCCTGAACCCTGAACCCCAAGCCCTACAGGGTTTGGGTTTGGGGTTGCGAGGTTGGTGGGTGTGGGATTCAATGCTTTCGGCACAGGGTTTTGAATCGGTGCAGTCTGATCAACTGGATTGTGTCATTGGGGCACAGTAGCCCTAAACCCCAAAAAAGACCTCAGAACCCGAAACCCCTAAGCATTAAACCGTAAAAGCCGCAACACACGAGCCATAAACCCTCAAAGCCTAAGAACCTAAACCCTAAACCCTAAAAAACCTACACCTTAAACCCTGAAACCCTTAAACCCTTAAACCCTGATTCCGTAACTCCTGAGCCCCCCAAGCCCAAGCCACGGCAAGCACAGTGGGGGGGGGGGGGGGGGGGGGGGGGGGGTAGGAGCCGCGGTTGAGGGTTTAGGGTTTAGGGTTCAGGGTTTAGTGTTTAGGGTTTAGGGTTTAGGAAACCTTGGGGAAGCTTAGGGAGCCTTAGGGTCTTAGGGAGTAGCGGGGAGTATGAGGGAATGTTGGGTCACATCCCCCCCTTTGAACCCCCCTCCTTTAAGAACCCTAGAACAGATCCAACTTGTACCCCTTTTCCCTAAACCCTAAACCCTAAACCCTAAACCCACGGTCTACGGTGACTGAGATTGGGGTTCGGGGTTTATGGTTCAGGGTTGGTCAGCATTTACATTTGTTTTGGGGAAGCTCAACCCCAAGTCTGGGTTTAGGGTTTAGGGTTTGGGGTTTGGGGTTTGGGGTTTGGGGCTTGGGGTTTGGGGTTTGGGGTTTGGGGTTTAGCTCTCCCTCACCTGTCAAGGGTTCGAGAAGGCGTCAAGGATGGAGCCGCTTGTTAAGGGGGTCACAGGAGGGGTTTTAGGGTTTAGGGTTTAGGGCTTAGGGTGTAGGGTTCAGGGTTCATCATCGTGTTTCCGTAAAGAACCCCTACGTACAACTTAGATAGGCCCTATATATATTATGTTCGTTGGCGGTCTCTTTTTGTAGGCTTTCCGTAGCGGGTTCTTATTGGGGGGTCTAGGGACTATATAAAAGTAGATGTAACAGATAAAGAGGCCACGGGCCTTTATAACCTACACACCTAAGTGCCCCCAAATAGCCCCTAGATACCCCCTAAGGTCCTAAACCCTAAAACCTAAACCCTGAACCCTAACCCTAAACCCTGGTTCCATATTATACCTTAAGGGTCCCTCCTTTCGCCTCTTGAGCTTGTGTGACCAGGTGCCCGACCACTACCAGGTGTGAGGAGCTCAGGGGGTTTAGGGTTTAGGGTTTAAGGTTCAGGGTTTAGGGTTTAGAGCCGTTTAGGGTTTAGGGTTTGGGTTTCTCAAGGTTCATTCGCCCTAAGCCCTACACCACACACCCGAAGCCCTAAACCCTAGACCCTAATCTTGCCAGGCGGAGTTGTCACAGAGCGTTTGGCAAACTAAGCCACACCTCCTTTTTCGAACCTCACCTAGTAGGCCCCTGAAGGGTCTACATTCGCCAAAACCCTATGAATACCTTGCATCCCTATAAACCTCCTAAGGCCCTGAACCCCATCCCGAAACGAAAACCTACAGCCCTAACCCCCAAAATCCCTCAACACCCCAAAGCCTCCTAGGGTTTAGGGCTTCGGGTTTAGGGTTTAGGGTTTTGCGGCTTGTTCTTCCCTAGAACCCTTAACCCTCAGGCCTTCGCCCGCTGCTCGCGCTGCGGGGAAGGAGCAACAGATATGTTGAGAGGTCCGCGACAAACCCTACACCCTAAACCCTAAACCTTAAACCCTAAACCCGAAACATCTCCTGCTTCCTTCCACCCCCGGCGCCCGGGAGGCAGCTCGGAAGATTGCCGTGACATGCTCCCCCAACCCTTCCGGGTTGAGGGTTTAGGGTTTAGGGTTTAGGGTTTAGGGTTTAGGGTCTAGGGCTTAGGGCTTAGGGTTTAGGGTTTAGGGTTTAGGGTTTAGGGTTTAGGGTTTAGGGTTTAGGGGTTTAGGGTTTAGGGTTTAGGGTTTAGGGTTTAGGGGTTTAGGGTTTAGGGTAAGGGTGTGTTTTGGGGGGTTGTAAGGCATGGGGCTGCCTGGATTGGGGATTTGTGGCTTTCGTGGGGTGAGGGTTTTTTTTTTGGTGTGTGTGTGTGTGTGTGTTTTTTTTTTTTTTTTTGGGGGGGGGTCTAACCCTGAGCTCCGAAGATTAAACCCTAAACCCTAGACCTACCTTAAACCCCAAACCCTGAACCTGAACCCTAGGGGAGCACTATTCTTGTCCCAGATCCAAAAAAGGAACCTTTAACCCCAAGCCCTGACCGTTGCGGGCTCTGAAGTCAAGGCTGGGTGTGGCGCGCCACGCGACGCCTGAGGAGATAACTCAGGCGGGAGAGTGAGGAAACGAAGTAGAGGGTTGAGGTTTGGGGGGTTCAGGGTTTAGGGTATTGGGTTTAGGGTTTATAATGTTTCGGGTTTAGGGTTTAGGGTTTAAGGTTTAGGGTTTAGGGTTTAGGGGTGGGGGGGGTTGGGGGGTTTACGGGTTGGAGTTGGGGGTGGGGTTGGGCGGAGGGCACGTTTCAACAGCAGAGCCCGGAAAGAGCTCCGCTACTGAGTTGGCTTTGCAAGGCCCTTTGGCTTTGGGGTTTAGGGCTTAGGGCTTAGGGTTTAGGGTTTAGGGATTAGGGTTTAGGGTTGCGCGAGGTTCGTTTGTAGGGACATGCAGGGTCTTGTACTCTTAGGATTCGGACGTCTAGCTTCTGGCCTCAGCAATAGCCGGCTGCGACTCTCCGAGCACGAAACCCCCGATCCTAGATGCTACGGCTAGCTCTAAACTGCTCCCCCCCCCCTCCCCCCAGCCCCCACCTGAACCCCAACGCCTGATGCATGAATGCGCGGCTGCACATGCCGCCTGGAGTTTCAGGGTTTCCTTAAGAACCCGAAACCTACTTTCTTGTAGGTGACCTCAGGACCTCAGGAATTCCCCACAAAAATGTAGGTTTTGGGTTCTTAAGGTTACGGAGTAGGCCCCTATTTCACTTTTTTAGGGTTGGGGTTCCCTGGTATTGCCCTAAAAACCAAAAAGGTGCCCCTGGGTCTACTGTACCTTAAGAAGCCAAAACCTCCTTTCTTGCAGGTTACCTAAGAATCCTATAAGGGGCTTCAGAAGAAGAACCTACAAAAAAGTAGGTTTGGGGTTCTTAAGGTAGTTGGGTCTAGTATAGCTAAGCCCTAACCCTAAACCCTAAACTCTTAACCCTAAACCCTATTTATTCCTAGGTTACATCTGGGTCTAGACTAGGCTTCAGGCGTCAGGGCCATTAGGGAAGCGCGAGGCCTATCGTGCGCTTGCCAAGTCTGCAACTCAGACTCTGCTGAGGTCCCTGGTGCAGGTTTAGGGTTTAGGGTTTAGGGTTCAGGGTTTAGGGTTTAGGGTTTCGGGTTTCGGGTTTCGGGTTTCGGGTTGCGGGTTGCGGTTTCGGGTTTCGGGTTTCGGGTTTCGGGTTTGGTAGCCCAGTGCTAACCATTACCCTTCTTTGCTTTGGTTCTGGGTTTCCTTTATAATATATAACTTAGCAAGGGGTGCCATTCTTATAGTGTGGTTACTGGGCTACCAAGATACAGACCTGAAGACGGAAGTTTCACATCACTTCCTTAGCTGAGTAGGGTTTAGGGTTTAGGGTTTAGGGTAAGTTTTTTTTTAACCTTTTTTTTTTTTTTTTGGGGGGGGGGGGGGGGGGGGGCGGGGGGCCGTTTTAGAATCCTACCATAATTGAAAGGTTGACATGTTTTGGCCAGGGTACTCGGTAACTAGGATGAAGGCTGATGGTGTTTAGGGTAATGAAAAGGTTTGGGTTTGGTGTTTGGGCTTTGAGGTTTTGATTGATTTTGTCTTGGCAACCCTAAACCCAAACCCTAAACCCTAGTTTGAGGTTTACCGGCCTACGCCGTTTCGTGTCTCGGGCCGGCAGTGTCGCTAGAGTTTCGGGATAAGGGCTTGCGTAGGGCTTACTGGAGTTCAGCTTCACAGAAACCATGGGGTTTAGGGTTTCGGGTTGAGGGCTTAGGGCTTAGGGTTTAGGATTCTTGCCATCGATCGCAGCCAGCTGTGCTTCAAGAACCATATCCTCTACCGCGCTCTGCGCTCTAAAGCCCTCTTCCGCTATCCTTTCACCATGGCCGCTGTCGACAGGCAGGTGGGTCGTTGCTTCGTGTTTGGGGGGGGGGGGGGGGTGGTGCAAAGGCTTGCTGCTTAAGCTTAAGTGCTACACCACGAGCGTTCGCACGATGCTTAGGGTTTGGGGTGTAGGGTTTAGGGTTCCCTGCCAGTGGCTCCTCAACCGCGAAATGAGTGCCCTCCGCCTTCCGGAGAATGCCCTATCATCACTGGCATCACCGGCATCAGTCCCTGGAGCCCTAAGCCCTTGCCCTTGGTCGGCCAGTGGTACCCTTTACCCTTTTTTGGGGCTCTGGGTTCCCTTATATCAAGTAACCAGCCCAAAAAAGGGTACCCTGAAACCCCAAAGCACTCAAGCCCTAAACTCGCAACCCCAACCCCTCACAGGGACGTTTAGGATTTAGGGTTTTGGGTTCAGAGCGCTTTTAGCGCGTTTGGAGCGCAGTGTAACGCTCGGAAGCCTTCCGCCGTCTGTGGTCAGGACCAGGGGTGGTGCCTTGGAGTTTCAGGCCCGCAGCTTCGGCGTTTTTTTTTCCCCCCCCTTTTTTTTGGGGGGGGGGGGAAGGGGGGAGGGGGGGCGGGGGGGGGAGGGGCGGGGAAGGGGGGGGGGGGGGGGGGGGGGGGGGGGGGGGGGGGGGGGGGGGGGGGGGGGGGGGGGGGGGGGGGGGGGGGAGGGTTTTGGTTGGTTGAGGTTTTGGGTTGATTGAGGGAGGCAGGGCTGACAGCGGGTTTCGAGGTTTGATTTTTGTGAGGGAGGGATTCTGAGTTTAGGGGTTGGGAAAGGATGGTCACGGAGGTTCTGGATGAAGTCTTCAGGTCTGCCGGCCCCTAGTTTTCTACCACTGAGCCATACATACGTTGTCAATGTTCCACCACCCACTCTCTCGCGCCAAGACGCTGGCAAGCGTCTGCCTTGCTGTGCGAAGACAACACGGCGATCTTCCCTGCGCCACCGTGGATTTATCGAAATCCGTTTTTTGGACCGCCCTCGATGTCACGCAGCTTAAAGCGGGCGTTGGAGGCTTCATGTCAAAAAGGCCTACGGCCAAGGGCGACCATGACACCGGTGTAGCAACAGACATAGCTACAATGCCCAGTCCAGTCGGCGAGAGAGGGTGCCTTGCTCTTCATTGAAGTATGACACACAACGCATTGCCACATTTCATTTGCTTCTGTACAATACAAGCCAAACAACACACATCCACACGCACACACCCACAGACACACAGACAGGCAGGCAGGCAGAGAGACAGACAGACACAGACAGAGACTCACAGCAGAGTGCGAAACTGCAGTGTGCACCCAGAAGTCTAAAACGCTTAGGCCAACTGCAGCAGGCGGCAGTGTCTTAGGGACCCCACCAGCAGCTACACAAGCCACCATGTTGCATGGGTGGGAAGGACACATCAGAAGGCAAGAGCTGAATTTCAGGCTCGCCGCACGGAATTTCGGTTCGAGGAAGCAGCGTTCAGGCTCCCTTTAAACCCCAAACCCTAAACCCATTATCCTTAAACCCTCAGCCTTAAGCCCCAAACCCCAGACACCGGAATCACACCCCTCAACCCTTTCCACCTAAACCAACCCTAAACCCTTAAACCCCAAACACCAAACCCCAAACGCCCTAAACCCCAAACTCCAAACCCCAAACCCTAAACCGTAAATCCTAAACCCTAAACCCCAAACACCAAACCCTAAACCCTAAACCCTAAACCCTAAACCTTAAGCCCTAAACCCTAAACCCTAAACCCTGATCGGGCCCGAAGCCTGTACCTCCCACAGAGGCCGAGCAAGGGATGAAGCTTCTGAAAGCCAACGCCCCTCAGATGATCGCACACGCGGGAGGGAGCGTGTTCTGGGTGTTAGGGTTGGGAGTCCATGTCACAATGTGCACTTAGGATTTAGGGTTTAGGGTTTAGGGTGTAGGGTTGAAGTTGCTGACTTCGGGGTAGGGATTTGAGGGACTAGGCCCACGCAAGAACGGATCTCTTAGCTTCATTGCTCCGATGCCACCCAGGTTAACTACCCTGAACGCCTAAACCTCGAACCCTTCCAGCCGTGAGCCCTGCATCTTCTCTTCTCAACCGAGGAAGCTTCTGGCGCCGAGTACGACACTGCCGCTGCAGAGGCAGTTTGGCTGCAGCCTCTCTGTGGCTACCCGAAACCCGAAACCCAAGAGGGTGAAGGTTCTCCAGTTCCCATGTCTCCCGATAGCCCTACCCCTGTGCCCATTTCTCTAAAGGGAAAAAGGCCAGCAGTTAAGGTAGTTTGGGGGCTGTGGCTCAGGACCCTAAACCCTTACCCCCCGCGAACCCCAATACCCCAAACCCTAGAACATTCTGTGGTTTGAGGTTTAGGGTTTGGGGTTTAGGGTTCAGGGTCGAGGATGCAACCCCAGAAATTCTGATGGATTGGGCATTGCCGTTGAACAAGTCTCGTGAGATCTCCGAACTGAAGCCTGGGCTACTAGGGTGTAGGGTTTAGGGTTTAGGGTTTAGGATTTAGGGTTTAGGGTTTGGGGTTTAGGGTTTAGGGTTTGGGGTTTGGGGTTTGGGGTGTTGGAAAAGTTCCGCCCTGAATCCACCCGCACCTGAGGCCTTCAGGAAAGAGATCGATGCTCGCATCGCCAAGACGCCTGGCCAGCAGTTGGGCCAGCCCCCCTCCCGAACCCATCAAACAAGCCAAGACTTATACCTCCCCGGGGTATTAGGATTGGGGCTTCAGGGTTTAGGGTTTTGGGGGCTCAGGTTTAGGGTCTAGGGTTTAGGTTTTAGGGTTTAGGGCTTAGGGTTTAGGATCTAGACAGCCACACAAATCGCCATCCGGAAAGAAGTCTCTAAGTTTCAGGGCTCAAGGAATTTGCTTGCGGAGATAAGCGTGAAGCAGTGCGAGTTTCAGGGCTATGGCAGTGGAGAGTCGAGCTGCTTCTACACCACCACCAACACCACCACCACCACCCCCACCCCCGCTCTTCCAAGCCTAAGGGACTCAGTCAGTAAGCCGTGCTGCTTGGCGAAAGCTTCGCCAGGCTGGAGATGGAGGCCACACAGCTGACAGGGAAGGACAACAAGAAGGCGAGGGCTTAGGGTTTAGGTTTTAGGGTTTAGGGTTTAGGGTTTAGGGTCTGGGGTTTGGGGTTTAGGGTTTGAGGTTTAAGGTTTAGGGCTTAGGGTTTGCGGGTTTTAGCTATTCTTAGGGTAATTACATAGGCCCTTAATATGGTTCCTTGCCCTCTTTAAAGGATTCTGATATATGGGCCCTTAATTTGTGCAGGGTATATACAGGGTAGATAAGGGGTACCCTTTTAAGGGCCCATACTAAGGGATCATGTAACTATCCCTGGAGTTATAGAAGGGCTTGCTTGGGGTTTCGAAGTCTTGGGGCAGTTACATGGTCCCTTTGTATGGTCCCTTACCGTCATCAGATGGTTCTGAAGTATGGGCCCTTGGGTTTTGCGCATCTAAAGGGTCCCATGAACCCACGCAAAGATGCAGGGTTTTGGCGTCCTAAACCCTAAACCCCAAACCCCTTAAACCCTAAACCCGAAACCCAAGATTTGTCTTTGGAAAGGGTTGGGGACATCTTTACCCTGGTTGCTGCGACTCAGCTCTTGATGTCCAGTCTCCCAGCCCCTAGGCCCATAACCCTGGATGTGGCAGAGATATGGGCAGTTCTTTAGGGGTTTAGGGTTTAGGGTTGAGGGTTCCTTTTGAGGTAGCTGAGCAGTTCAGGGTGCGCAGAGTTTACGCAACACCGCTTCACACAAGCACGCGAAGTCCTGGACCATTGCTCCCCCCCAGTGCTATCGCCACGGTTTAGGGTTTAGGGTTTAGGGTTTAGGGTTTAGGGTTTAGGGTTTAGGGTTTAGGGTTTAGGGTTTAGGGTTTAGGGTTTAGGGTTTAGGGTTTAGGGTTAGGGACCCTCAACCCTCACCAGCTAGGTGTCAAGAAAGCTCAACCCTTAAACCTCCCACCCTCAGCAGTTCTTGAGCCCTACCCTCTCAACCCCTAAAAGGATTTCCGAAAAAATCAGGGACCCCTAATGTAGACCCCCAAATAGTGGGGGGGTTCCCTGTCTTGGCTTTCTTCTGGCTGGATCTTAGGACTATAACCTTTTGGGTTTTTGTAGAAGCTACAATAAGGAGGCGCAAAGTTTTCGGAGGGGTTCAGAAGTCAGCCGAG